AATTTAGCCATGAAGTTTCTTTTAAGTCTGACATCTATGCCCTGTCCTATCTCCTGACGTTTTTTACGAAAAACAAAGTTTTTAAAAAGAAAATATTACAAATAAAAAAATAAAACTGCATTCTAAGCCTATTATGTCAAACGATACAATAAGTAGAGTCGACACCTTCAACCCCCTTTAATCCCCCCTTTCCTTAAAAAAACAAACTGGAACAAATTGGTCACAAACAGCACAACCACACCCATTTCCTTTGTACAAGAAACAGCTGTACTGCTTGGATTCAGTAAAAGGAATGACTTTAAAATCCTCCTATTTATGTCAAGTCATATCCCCCCAAATGAATGACTTGACATAAATGATGTTTCAGTTTCCTTCTATGCTGTCTTCTCTCTCTCTTTTCCTATTCCAGTTCATTAGCTGATTACCTGCCACACAGACTGTGGTCAATAACTGTTAAGGTTGTTTAGTAAAAAAAAACAACAAAATTCTATAAGTAGAGTTGAGAAAAAGGCCATGACTACACTTCCTCTTGGATTAAGACAGACCTTACTTGAAGCTGTCTTATCTGAACTTGAGAAACATGAATCTTTCTCTTTAAGCCCTTTACTATACCAGCTGAAACACCAGTTTTCAAGAATTGCATATTTACTGTTGTATGTATAAGATTCAAGTTAATTGAAAAAAATAATTACTTCAGCATGATCATAACAGAACAGAGCTTTCTCTACGTGCAGTCAGGAAACACATGAGGGGTTTCTAAAAGAAACCCTTAAAGCAAGATATGGCAAGAAACCTATATTTTATTAAATCCTTGAAAGCAAGGCAAATCTCTGTAGGTCCCTAATAAACATAATACACTTAGAGTTGGGTGTTTATGTGATATGTCATAGCTGCTGTATATGAACATTTGCTGTATACTCTTTATATAATCTATATATAGATGGATCAGAGTTCACTCCCTAAATATTGCATTTGAGAGGAAAGTACAAACACAAAATAATACAAAATACAAAAAGGAAATTGTTCTCTTAATTGAAAATGTGCAAATCTTTTTATTGCACTTGTAATTATATAAATACTGTACCTTTATGTGCTCCACAACATCTAAGCACAATGATGCCCTGCTAACGTACTGTATGTAAAGAGAAGTTGCTTCATCATCAAGCGCTATTTTATAATCAAGTGCAGACATCACCCACAGTAATTCATGATTGCCTAGTGAAACAGATGGCTCGTGGATTCCTAGATCTATCATCTATGGGATGATATGACAAAGAGTCTTTGATCAGTTAATAGTAGAATATTAGACTGTAGTATAAGATTTGGTCGATTTTTTTAAGTGTGGTATGGAGATGAGCAGTGCTGTCTCAGTTCTTGCTGGGAAGTTCTGTGTGAGTTTTTCTTCTATGTTCTTCCCAGGTTCTCAAGTTTTCTCCAACATGGCTTCATTGTTTGGCTTCCAGGATTTATGACCAATAATTATATAACCAGTACCTTTCTGGGAAGTGAAAACATAACCCTGTGTCTGTCCTTTAACCAATAATACTTCAACCTATTACCAATAGTAAACTGAAAAACAGGATTGAGTGTTAGTTGTTTTTTCTAATGGGTAATAACTTGTAATATGGTCTAAAATCATATTTTCAGGACTATTTCAGCTGCAAGAGAGGTTTTCTTAAGGATGAAATATGTACTGTAAGAAAGATTACAAGTCAACTGGAGAAAAACAAACATATAGGAAAGTCACTTCCAAAGAAATACTGGAAATTCCATAGCTAGGAAGATACTGCCACTGCACAAGAATTAGTGGGATCAAATGTCCAGCAAATGTCTTGGCCCTTTTAATGTGACAGTTTTAAAGACATGCTTGCCAAGCTTAAAAACACAAAGAACAAACAAAAGGATTAGTATAATCCCCGCTGACACATCAGAGCTACAGGCTCTGTTAGAAGCTGAAATAGAACACCACCTCCTATATCACTATATACCACACTGCCTACATCTAAAACCTCCTGCATCACTAAGTAACTCTCTGTATACTCCTCAAACCATCCATATTGCCATAAACCACTATGTGAACAATTCATCCTTCATGTTCGGGATGTACAGATGTAAATGTTTCTACTGAGTTTCAGAATATGGTTCTAGTGTACTGTCTGAATTGATGTTCAAGAAAAAGTTTTTAGAGGTTTTAAAAGTGTTTAATGGTGCAAGAAAGAAAATGCACATGGACAGAAACTAAAAAAAAAAAACAATAATATTGTAGTCTAGAGTGTGATTTAGAGTAAGAATGGTCTAACCATGCTTAAACATGGTTAAACATCTCAGCTATGTTTAACAACATTAAGTAAAACACCTAAGGTATTATACTCTGTTTTTTGGTTAATGCTGACTTCATAGAAAATCTTTTAGGGTTTAGTACATTTTTATGACACATCTCTTGCACTGTATATCACACCATGATTTCTGCTATTGTAACTAATGTTTAATCTTTCAGACTTGTATACAAGAAAAACATTGGTTGTAGGCAGTTCTACTCATTTATATTTCTATAGCAGTCTTTTTATTTTAATGTATATTCTGCATCAAAATAAATCTATCACTTACATCTGCAACCTTCATTGAATTCAAATTATCAGAACAATAAAATATTTTTTTGTGTTTTTGCACTGAAATTTAAATGAACAGATAGGGCATAGGTAAATTAACAATGCTGCTAAATATGGTTAATTTGTCATCAGAACAAATCATCCATTTAGTTTAATACTGTACATAATGTGGGTCTCAATGTTAGGACACGGATCTGCCTATTCACAGGTCTCTGAATCCTAGATAACACAAGTAGTCCCAAGATCATCCCATGTATGTCCAATAGGACCCAAGTCTGGCAAGCAAGTTGTCTGCAGCATACTGTATCTGTCACATTCTAATCTTGTAAGCCACTTTTACATGAGCAGCAAAAGGGTGTGTGCTGTCCTGCTGGAATGTTGTCATGTTAAGTCCTAATGAATGAAAGTCTGAGTACCTACTGAGAAATTTGAAGTTACCTAAAGAATCTTCAGGGTTGCAGATCCCAAAAAACAGGAATATTACTGATTCACATCTTTCTTGTTTGCATTAAACATTGGTAATTAAGTACTAAGACATTGTTCAAATAAATCATTCACAGATCTCTGTTGATTATATGAAATGGGAAAATAAGATGGTAAGGAAACTGAATCATATATGTTAAGCCACACCTTAGTGCAGGGCTGCTAGAGCACTGCTTTCTCACATCGCTACTGGTCCTGGGTTCGATTCTGACCAGAGGCAACTGTGTGGAGTTTGCATGTTCACCCCTTGTCCATATGTGCTATCTCGGGGTGTTGCTTTCTACAGTCCAAAGGGATACTCTGTCCAGGTTAACTAGTATCTCTACATTTGCCCTACATATGCATGGGCTTGAGATTGACTGGTGTCCTATCCAGGTTGTATCATTGCCAACTGCCCTGTCTATTTCAGGATACTCTCTGGTTTGTTACACCTTACGAGTCTCTAAGAAAAAAAAGTCAAAAGAAATAGACAGATACCTCAGAATATTTTTAGAAAATCAAATTCAATTAATGTTTGTTTTAGAAAATGGTATTTTTATACTGCAAAATAAACTTATTTTAAATTAGATTTTACTCATGTATTTTCCTCAATTCTAACCGACATATAATGTACGTGGGTCTTCTGCTGCCATTTTCCGCCCACTACAGTATTTCCAAGTCAAAGAAAGAAAAGACAATTGAATTTGTAAACACAGAAATACATAGTTTTGATTTTTACTGCTACAGCCCGATCTTAAATCTATTTAGCTATTTGGATTTTATCTTGAATTTTTTAGGGCTTCTTTCTGTAGTTTCTAGCAAGAAAACTAGATGCAAGTAGCTTTTCTGTATGCTTTTCAAATAAACACAGAGATGTATGGGAGGAAAATTAAAATGAAGTGAGGTACCAATTTGTAGTTTGATTTCATCAGTGCTCAGATTTTGAGCAAGGCTGGACCCGGTCAGTAATGGGGTGGGAGACCTCCAAGGTAAATAAGGTTGCCGTCTTAAGCAATATTAGAGAACCTGTTGGTGACATTCTCCCCTCTGCACCAGTGTTTCCAAGTATGGTGACCAAGGATGCTGTATTATAGGAGGTGCTGTCCTATTAAGATGTCAAACCGATGTACTAATGATTAATAGTCATTAAAGATTCCGTGAAACTGTTAAAAAATACCCTGGTCTTGAACAATCTCATCTACCTAATGATCCTTCTTAATTAATTGGTGCAGTGAAGTGATGTTTCACTTCTCCACCTCATACACTGTGCTGTACTTCAGTGGTGGATGGAAAACTTTTGAGATTTGTGAGATTTGTGATTTATTATACAGTTCCTTAACTTCGTCCTGTACTTGTCCCTAAACAACAAATGAATCATGATTTCTTTGGAGTTACTTTATTTAAATGGGACACGTTTGCACAAAGAATTCTTACTTGCATCTCTTGTTAAAGTGCATATTTTGAAATCAATGAAGTGACTGATTGTATAAATATTCCTCATAACTATGCACAAATACTGGTCTCTTTATTCTAAGACATAAGGGAGGAAATATATAGATATATATTTAAGCATAGGTGAACTAAAACAATGAGGGCTAATGGCTAAATATTAAACATTTATTGGGGGTAAATTAATATACATATATGATTATTGTCATATACTATAATAAGTAGTAGCTAGGTTACCAAGTGATCTCCCATATACTGTACATCATGATCATCCTACTGTAACTGTCACTGCTGACCCTTTAAGCCCTCTTGAAAGCTATATGAGCTTTTCTTCTAATTTCCCTTTTTTTCTCAGGTATAGAACTTCCTTGACTTCTGATTTTTTTAAATCAGGATTTGTTCAACTGTAATGAAAAACCACTTCAAATGTAACATGAAAGTTAATTTGGTCATTTGTCATCACACAGATCAAAGCATGCAAACTGAGGCATTTTAAATTTATTTTTCATTATTTCATAGCAAGCATCCCACTATTCTCATCTCAATCAAGTTAAACATTTTACCTTTTCAAGATCAGCAAAAAGCTGTGAAGATCTGATCTGTGTTTTCACAATACACACACAGCACTACACGGAGATAACCACACAGATTTCTTTAAAACAACACATAGTAGACAAATAAAAATAAATTAAAACTTTGACTTAACTCATGCAATATATGCACAAAAAAAAACAAAATATTATACAGCGCCTACAGTTAACCATTGTTTACTGGTTCTTTTGTTAGCCAATTAGCCTTAATATGGAAAATGTAAGATTTAAGTACAAGTTAGAATCCAGTTACTAATGAATCCAGTTGTACATTACGTTCTTGGTACAGATGCCCTTTTGATGTGATCAAAGTCACTATATTAAGATACATGTTTTAGTGACTATATAGTTCAGTGATACAGTAAATATATGCAATAGTGGTGGCTAACTTACAGCATACACTGCAATAGCTACATGTGGCTCTTGAAGAAATAAAAATGTTTCACCAAGGAATTATGTTGACAAATGTTAAATAGATCTTTTTTCATAAAAGTTTATCCTTATGAAAGCTTAATCTTACAGAAAATGAACTTTTATGGTTCTATTATTTCTTAATTCTGTAGTTGGTCCTCTACAGTTTCTAGGTTGCTAACCAGTGATCTGCAGGAAGGAGAAAACATACCAAGGCAAAAAAAGTGAAAATAGATGTAGGTTACATTCTTTGCTCTTAGACTCTATTTTCTTTCTACAAACCCAAGTTTGTAGTTTGTACCATGTATTTAATACCTTGCTGCCTAAGTCCTCTAAAATAAAGAAAAGTGTTCTCCGAGTCTGCCAGTCACAAGTCCACTTGATACGCCAGGAATGAGGCCCTGAGTTACAAATGGATTCATATTTTTTTAAATAAAAACTATGGTTCTAATTTCCCAATTGTCTATTAAATATTTTGTGTTTTCAGCCTTGAAATATTTTTTGGTTCATTCCAGGTTATTAGTGTACTGTAATCAGTTGAAGGAGTATCTCCTGGTTTTCTCTGAATCCGAGAGACCCTCTTCAGGGGGGCAGGGGTCCAGGTCTCCAGTACACTCATTCAGGTCAGGCTCATTCTCCTCGTTGCTGTCTGCACTGTAGTCCACTTCCTCCAGGAAACGCGGCTCATCCTCATCAAGCACATAGGTGGTAGTGCTGCACAGAAAAAAAAAACGTTTCACATGATGTATCACTATCACAAAAAAAAGTATTTAAGACAGACCTTCCCTAGGAATAAGTGGAAAATAACCATTTGTTCAGCAGTGTTCATTCACAAGAACAAAATAATATATGCAGTGGACACTATACTGTATGTATTAACTTGTCTGGCATGTTTTCCTAGTGTCAATACCATCACACAAAAGTTTAAAAAATATCCATTCATAGCAACAGGAAACAGCCAAAGCTAAGCAGTCCCTGTGTGCAATAATAAAAACCGAAAATCTTGTTGTTATATGGTAACAATGGTTTACCTGAATCAAACCACAATACAATTTATAAGACCATTTTAAGCAAGAATTTGCTTTCAGCCACAAATATGCAGAATACAAAATAAGAAAGACACTAGCCGTGGCTTGAAGTAATGTTACTACCATACAGCATTACCCCTGATACACAAAATGATACATTGCATCTCAGTAATGATATAATAGCGCTGCAAATTCAGAAACATAATCTTGGCAGCTTCACGGAGGGCACTGACATCTAATGACTGGAGCTCCTGAAGAGAAGACCTCCACTTCTTCCAGAGAACAAACTCAATTTTCCTCAGGGCATCAGGTAATTTCAGTTATGTGTAATGACCATGAGATGCATCTAATTGGTTTCTTTGGTAATGTGTTAAAATACTTCTTCGAAAGAGCTAAAGCGATTATCGGCCATTAGAGGAAAATGTGAGAGGTTGTAAACAAGAGTTGTCAAGCCTCTCTGGAGCCCTGAAGGAATGGTAAGGGAGAGCAGGGGGAGGAGAGTAAGTAACACATACTCAGTTTCATTAGTCTCCCAGGGGAATAGATAAAGATATTTGCTCAGAAGCTCTAAGTGCTTCTTAATATTTCATTAGATAAGTACTTCAAAATTCAGATGAGGTCCTCCTTTAGGGTCTGTAACCTTTTTTATTTTTAAATCAAATTTTCCAGTCTCCCATTCATTAAAAAAACAAAATCTTTTGAATTGGGTGTGGAGGGAATGTATATTGGCTGCAAAGGTAAAGAAGACAGATTCAAGGGTAAATCCTGCTTAATGCTATTGGAGTTTAACAGACCAAAGCACACTTACTCAACTCAGTTTAAGAAAAAAAAAGTATTTTGTTCTTTAACCTTGTAAAGTTAGCTTAGCAACAAAAAACAACAAAACAAATCTCTTTAAAAATAACATGGCAAAATCAGAAAATGTAACAAAGACATTTCTTCCCCATATTTGAACTGTCACAAAAAACCCTGAATAAGCTCATTCTTTCAGTTTTGGCAGCAAGTATCATGAATTTGTTTCTTGTATTCACTGTAATAGATTGCTCTGTATAATGAATTTATCAGACATCTGTTTTTTGGGGTCAGAACATGTACATCCTTATAACTGAAGTCAAGGTACAGGGGATTAATACAGTATATTTCTTGAACCTTTTGCAATGTCTGGTTGTACAATACTGTTTTATGAACAGCTTGGAATTGATTCAGTCTAGGTCAAGCAGTTAATTCATCTCATACTCCACTGAGCCCATTCAGAGTGAATATTTAACAAAGGCGTGGATCAGAATTATCAAAATGATTACAATATACAGTAAATACTGTATATAATATGGTGAATTCAGTGCCCTTAGAGCATCAGGGTCCAGAAAAAATATATGACCAGTCACAGAACCTTATGTCTTTTAACTAATATCTTACACAGTAAAACTTATGTTATTATTGGATTTGTTCCCAGATACTTAGAGAATGTTTATTTCAAAACCGCTATGGGACATGATTATTTTATCCTGAAAGACTGCCATTCCCTAGAACCTAATGCTAATGATGCTATAGCTGTTCAGGCCCTTTTGGTAACCTGGCAAGGTCAGCTTGGTATCCCTTAAAAATTCAATACAATTTATAAGAACATTTTTGAGCAAGAATGTGCTTTCAGCCACAATATGCAGAACACAAAATAAGAAATACAATAACCATGACTTGAAGTAATGTCACTACCATACAGAATTACCCCTAGTACACAAACATTCCCCTATGCCTAAGCATTCTTTTCTATTGTTAATAGCTCTTCGCTGTTTTATCAAGTTACTATTCAATCTGTTATGACAAGAGGACAATGGCCAGTTGCTTCATCTCCAAATCACCTGCCTGGAAGCAAAAGCAAAAAGGATTTTCAAACTTTTTTTTCCACAGCCTCTTCACAGATGGATGCTACAGAACCCAGGTGTTGCAGGCCCACTATTGTGATCAAACTGGAATAAAAGCACACAGCCACACTGCAAAACAGGAGCAAGCCCCATAAGCTCTAATGGAGGCAACGCCAAATATTAAAGGATAACTACTTTTTTATTGTGCCAATAAATACAAAAAGGATATAAAAAGGATATCGGCACGTGTTTGTTTGTTCATTATTGATAGATTTTGTTAAGTTTAATAAATTAGGATTTTTGACGATAAAATGCCAGAAGTCTGTGGAGAGATGTCTGAAGATGGAAGAACGTAGTGAAACAACTGATTTTTAAAAATCTAATATGTATTAGCTGTAAAAATGGTTGAGGATCTCAATTTCACAGTGTTGCTGTAATTACCAATTGTTTACATGTAAAATATACTTACTGTAAATGTATTAGAAACCGAACAACTATGTACCAGCCCCAATAGCATTTCTTGCATTGTAATGCTCTCTTGGTATATTATTTACAATTTTTACATAATCAGGTAAATATTTGACAGAACAAAATTAATCTTTCAACTACTGCAAAATTGAATTAAAAACCAGAATAATCACATTAGAAAAGCTTTTTCTAAAATAGGGGTCACGGCAACCTGGAGCCCATCTGGCTAAGTAGGCCTACATCCTGGATGGCCAGGATGTGGTAGGACACTACGTGAAGACACAGGGACTCCAATGAGGCAGCAAGCTTGTGGAAAGTGGGAGGAAGCCAGAGCACCCAGATGAAATCTATGCAAACATGAGGGAGAGCATTCAAAGCATCTGGTGGGGGTTTGGAACAAATTACTAAGCCATTAATATTAGCAATACCCCGGTATCTAAATAGTTTGACAAGTACAAAGGTAATAATATAATTAATATAATTAATGGAATAGGCTGTATTAATGGGAACAACAGATTTTTGGCGAACACAACAATGAAAAATGATATGAATCAAATGTACAGGGGCTACATATAGCATAGCACCACTTTTGCAGTTTGCAAGAATAGCAAAGCAACAGAGATATTTGGCAAACACATCAGAAGTGAATGCTGAGAGCTCTTGCATGGGGTGAAATCTCCACCAACGCAGTAATGGAAATACTGAGAAACCTGACACTCCCTTGGGGACAAAGAGCATTGGTTCTGATCCAAAGGACCACTGAAGACAAAGGATTGGATTACTTGAAGGGCAAGTAATTCAGATGAATCCCAGCAAGACTCTACACGTCGTCCACAATTTGTAACACTTATTCAACACGTATTCTCTGCCTCTCCCCAAAAAACCTCTTGCTTTTTTGTTGATTTTTTTTAGCAAACATTGCAACTAACATATTCCAACAGTAAAGGTCAACAGCACAGTCATCCAGTGTTGGGTAGTTTTAATGAAACAAGAATATTCATAGTTTTGTTCCTCCTAGGTGATGTGAGACTGATAAACTCTTACAGGACTGTTTACTTCAAGTTATTGCTGCTAAACGGGGTTCTACACGTTACTGAATTATGGAGTGCACTTGTATATATAAAAGTATTTAATCATAAGAGAGTACTTTCTTTTTCAAATCAAAGCCAGTCTGATTGATGTGCTATTAAATTAAATATCAAAATCTTTTAAATTTTATATCTATATTAGATACATTTTGCCATACAGTATTTTGTCTTTGTTTTTCTTAATTACATCTTTCACAGGCTGCTACACACCATTCATTGAGGAGACTGAACTTGTTCATGAACAAGAACAATTTTTACTGAACTATCAATAAATATTGACCTTGGATAGTAAAAATTCAATTTATTTGTTTTTACCACTTTTTGTTTCTGGATACAAGCGGAATTCCATGTAGTAAATACTTTTAGTTTCTATTGCCCAATATCATTCACTGATAAGGTTTAATTCCTTGACTATGAATTGTAAAGAAAAAAGTAGTGACATTCACCTGTCACGGGCATTTCACATGTTGGTGTGTTATTTAATACACTGCATATAATCATAGACAAGTACTTGGGCAATTAAAAAAGGAAACAGAAAACATGAGAACACAAGGGAGGTGTTTCTTTAATGTCTAATCGACAACTGATAGTTTTCAATCACACGTCAAGGAAGAGTAAAATATTTTGGTTATTCAAACGGTTTCGTCTAAATATGGAATTCATTCTTAAAATCTTACAATAGAGCACAGGGATCTCAAGTGTTAGTTTCTCCAGACTGAAGAGGCATAAAGAAATATTTAACATTCCTCATGGTTGTTAGAGAAATTGGCTTCACCTATAGACACCTATCTGATTTCTCTCTATAAAAGACAGAAACTGTCCAGTGTACTCTGGGAGTCTCTACAAGACAAAAGAAATGGTATTATGATGCGATGCAAGACTGAACAAGACTCAAAAGTCACATACAGGCAGGTTAGACAGATTACACGATAGTGAAAAATTGTAATTTCCGACAGTTGCTGTGTCAGGGGCAGCATGATGTATGTCCTTGACCAAACAGGATCAGCCAGTCAATAAAGAGTTTAACATGTGGGAAAGTGAAACAGTTACGGTTAAGAACCAAACCAAGAAGGAAAGGTTTGAACAACATGGCTGTTTGTTATTGAGCAGAATCTCCATGCCTTTTATATTACAATAGCACAAATAAGACAACCATGTCTTAGTTTTTAACTGACTGAATATATATGCATGCAACAGTAAATGTATTTTATGCAGAAACAGAAGTTGTAAGAATCAGACTATAATTTTATTTAAAGCACAAATGCAGA